TTCTCTCAATTATGAAATGTTTAGGAAGAGCTTACCATGCTGATAAGATCACAGATATTATTACTTATCAAACAGATTACCAAAAAAAATAAATGGGGAATGTGTCCATGGGACACAGATGATGCCTCCGCTTGTATATTATATAAAGTTATAAAGCCACATAACTGAAGAACGGTAAAAGTGACGCTACCCAAATTTGTACTTGATCTGAGTTTTGTGGTAATAAGTATTGTGTATAAGTCTCATAACATTTGGTTGAGAGAACAGAAACGAAAAATTCAGCAGTTTTTCCATTTGTAAACAGGCATAACTCTAGAGCGGTAAAAGTGACATCACCAAAATTCAAACTGTATTTTGTGGTAATAAGCATTGTGTATAAGTTTTATAACATTTGTTGAGGCAAACTAAAGTTAGAGAACGGAAACCAACTTTGGGACGGACTGACGGACCGACGGACAAGGATAAAACGTAACGCCCCCTCCGCTACGGCGGGGGCATAAAATAAAACTGTTAACCTTTAAGAGTCGTAGAAAATTCACAGACACATGTGTAATGGACACCCTTTTATGTTTTGTGTTCGATTTTTTTTTTTTTACAATATTCTTTGTTGTTGTTTATCCTGAGTTTCAAGATATAATTGGATATGTAGTTATTATTACACATAGTATACAAAATATTCCAGTTTTGCAATTAATTTTAAAAATTGAAAATTAATAAAGTTTAAAAAAAAAAATCACACATAATAAAAGAAGACACATTCCTTGATTAATATTGTGTATTAACTATTCCTTCATGCAACAATTTCCACATATAAAAACATGTGGTATCTATCAACTAACATTGTATTATATGAGTGACAGTTTGATTTGAAAGTATGGTGTTTTCTAATTGATACAGGAGATGCATTCACTTTTTATTTACATTTTTTAAATGGGATTTCTTGGGCATGCATGTAGACAGAATATGCAACTGTTGAAAGTGTCATATTTCAAAACAATATAAAAGTTGGTCATTGACAGAAGGTTAAGCAATAAAACTTTAACTACATTATCTAGATTATAATCATAAGATATGCAGTACTGCCCAAAATTTCAAAGAATAATTGACAGAAATTTTCAATTTGTGTCAGGCCGGGACATACTATTTATCTTATCTTATCTTAATGGTTATCTGAGATGTATAAATTGAGTTTTCTCTTGTTTTCTGTTCACAACTTTATGTAAGTAAAAGTCTATTTGTTTTATCTACACCCACTTTCTTTTTATAGTAATATTTTCTTTTCAAAAATAAACCAGATACATAATGTCAGCAAATTAAAAAAGTCATGTTTCAAATTACCTTAATTAACTTTTCATAATTTCCTACTTCAAAAAACCATACCATCAAATTATTCCATGGTATAGAAATTTGTACCATACCATCATACCATACCATGGTACCATTCATGCATACCATGGTATGGTGGTATTCGTACCATACCACCATACCATAACACATACCATACCATCATACCATACCATGTTTTACAGTATGCCGTCTTATTGGCAAGTGCAGTTTAACATTGTCATTTATTTATTTGATGTTGCAGAATTATTTGTAAATTTAACTCTGTAAATTTAAGTTGAATGTGGTCTCCGTCATTAAACCTATAAACCTGGTCAAGGTTTTGGGGTTTATCTTAAATCTGGGAACTACTTATTATTTTTATTAAAAAGTAGATCTGGCAAATAGGTGAAAGGACTGGCAAAACTTTCTTACAGCACCTAAATTTCACATATAAAATTACATAAAAATCTAAACCGTGACTTAGCCACGCCTACCCCAACTAAACTGTAGGGTGATCATATGGGATCTAGAAAGATAATTAGTAACTGTCCAACTAGTGACACCAGCTGCAGTTTATATAAGTTGTGAGAAAATACGAAACTGGCAGAACGTTTAAAATCGGACACAAATTAAACGTACAATTGCTCGTCAGTGAATAAACCAAATAAAACAGTTAGCATATATACAAAGAAAGAAACACATTAAAGATGGAAAAACATCTGCATGGGGATTATAACATGCCTAAACGTTCAATATTGTGTTGATGAAAAAACCCAATACATTAAGGAGCTTGGTGGTGAAAAACCCAATTTGATATTTGCTTGAGGGGTGAATTGGAATTGATAATGCAATTTAAAAACTTTATCACCCAATTACATAAAAAAATGGTGGGTAAAAACCCCAATTTGTGAATTCTTATCTGGAGCTCTGCAAAACTATATATTTTTTGAGGTCTTAATACATTTGTACATGCATGGCAGGAAACAGGAACGGGATACACAATTGTTTGACTTGTCTCACTCTGTGAAAATTAGAATTATGTGTGAATAGTAATTCCTATGGTTCTGTAAACAGGTATCGGGTCTGTTCGCCCTAACTTCATGTTCACCCTGACAGTCAGGGGTACTACTTGTACAAGTAATCTTTATTTACTTGAAGAAGTAAATAATAATATACTTATACAATGTATAAGTTAATTTTGTTATGCTCATTTTTTCTTATAATCATGATAATGTTTGAATAATCTCCCCTTAATTTTCTCAAAAATTTACTTGTATAAGTATTTTTTTTTTACAATCCCTAAAATTCTCAAGTTTTGAGATGTAAAAACATGTCTTTAACAATTTTTCTAAGGTTAGCTCATAATTTTGGATTAGAGTTCAATGTTTCATCTCATTAATTCAACAAAGAAACTAATTGCACAAAGATCTTAAGTAATTGTGCAAGGACTTCAAAAATTGCCCCTTGGGGGCTTGTAAATGAGCAGTGTTCTGAAGATAACAGACAAAAGAGATTTTCATTGTCCATGAAATTACACTTAAATGATTAGTAAAGACATCTGCAAAGGACAGACAATTAAAAATTCTATTAGACATATGTTAGAGGAAAGAAGTCCTGAGAAATTCAAGAAAAGAAGATAGTATTTTTTAACTTGTATAAGTAAAAAAATCTGAATGTCTAAGGGACATAACTAAGCCAATAAAATAATTTACCTATACAAGTAAATAAAATACACTTGTATAAGTATCTAACAAATTTACTTATATGAGTATATTAATATTTATTTCTTCAAGTAAATAAAAATTACTTGTACAAGTAGTACCCCTGACTGCCTGAGTCCGTTAGCCCTAATTACATGTACATATTCGCCCTGGGTTTGTTCGCCCATAGAGTCCATTCATGCTACTTTTATAAAAGAAAAATATATCAATATTAATGGTATTAATTAAGGTTTTATAAACTTATTCAGATATTTATATGGTAAATATTAAAGAAAATATATATATTTCTCAAAATTCATGAAAAATAGGATGCTGATAAGGTATAATTATGATGTCTCACTGATTGTTGAATTAATTGTCTATAGTGGATTAACAATGAAAATAACATTATTATAAATAAACAAGTCAGCTTGAAATGAGTAAAAACAATGACGTACAAATTGTAAAACTTGAAAGGAATTTGTTTTGCAGCTTGGCTTCTAAATATATTGTTTTAACTGTTAATGATTGTTTTAAAATTGTTGAAATGTTTCAACAAAGATAAATACATGTAGGTGGACCAAATGTGGATGGAGTTTACAGAATAGAGAATAATGGGCAAAATGTGCAGAAGGGCCCAAAAAAAATTCAGAATAGAGAAAAATAGGTAAAAAAAAATAAAGAATAGAGAATAATGGGGTCCTAAAACATAAAGAATAGAGATTAACAGACAAAATTTATAAAGTTTGTTTTAATGAAGACTATATGTTATTGATATGTAGATGTATTTAAGGTAGATAGGGTGTCTTCCTCCATCTTGGATTTTGAAATACCAGAAAACAATCGGACTAGATCTTTCATAAAAGGTGCAAATATTGAGAGTAGTAGGTAATTCATGTGTAAGAATTTTCATTTGAATAGAGAAAATGACATATTTTATCATATTTATGGTTGTATTTTACAAAAAAACAGAATACTTTTGTTTGATTCTATTTTTTTCCAACTTTGCCACATAAGGGGAGGCAACTCAAATGTAAGGGCAGATAATTCAGATAAAGTTACTTTTACAATAGAAGTGTTAGGAATTTACCTATTTTATTATGTAGCAGGAAAACGGGTCCCGTGACCCCATTTTTTCTTTTTCTTATCTGAAAGCATACTCTTAGAGCTATCTTCTCATATTTTATCTCAAAATTCTATGGTGTAGTTTTCATTTTATGGCAGAAAATTGGGTTTTTCATGCATAATCTATACAAAATCTGTCAATTTTGCACAACCTGTAGCGTGAAAATAAGCCCCGTGACCCATTGTTTTTATTATTTTTTTTTAAAAAGCATGATATAAACTACATTTTGGCAAATTATTAAAAAATTCTATGGATCATAATTTAGACACCCCATCTACCTTAAATCCGTTTACACCTTTAAGAGCAATTGCATTTGATTACATAGCATCAGCGTGAAGGTTTATTGGTGAGCTGATTAATAATGCATAATAAATGTAGAAGATACATGTATGCATGATGTACACACGTACATGGTTGACAGAGGTATAGGGGGAGGGTTGCGATCTCATAAACATGTTTAACCCCGCCGCATTTTTGCGCCTGTCCCAAGTCAGGAGCCTCTAGCCTTTGTTAGTCTTGTATTATTTTTAATTTTAGTTTCTTGTGTACAATTTGGAGTTTAGTATGGCGTTCATTATCACTGAACTAGTATATATATTTGATTAGGGGCCAGCTGAAGGACGCCTCCGGGTGCGGGAATTTCTCGCTGCATTGAAGAACTGTTGGTGACCTTCTGCTGTTGTCTGTTCTATGGTCGGGTTGTTGTCTCTTTGACACATTCCCCATTTCCATTCTCAATTTTACTTTGTCTTTGATTTCTCATCAATTATGATATTTCATATAATGTGTATACTTATAGTAACATTATGGGATGGCTTTATCAAATATGTGGGGTTTTTTTTCTTTACCTTCTATGGAATCATAGTAATGAGAGCTGATTTTTAGATGTTTGCGAAAAAAATGTGAACATTGTCTGCATTTGTAAATAACCGGAAATTAGATATTCACTAAAAAACACAAATACATAACCGAAAAACCGTGATATAATTTTCCGGATACGACTGAATTTTGTCGCAGTGTTATTTTTTGTCATTAACAACTATATATTAATTTGACAATGAAGTAATTAGTATTATTATTAGTTTACCTTCAAACAAGTAAGAAGATACCAAGAGCACAGTCAAAATCATGTGATGAAAATCCTTAATGAACAATTTAAAATTGCTTTCACTACCGAAGATACATCCTCCACGCCAAATAAAGGTAGAAGTCCCCATCCAACCATGCCAGACATATATATTAACAATAACGGTTTATTAAAGTTACTTTGAAACGTAAATCCCCATAAAGCCACTTTACATAATTTTTCAGAAGAATTGTCCCCATTTTTGACATACTTTTTCCAAAAATCAATGGATTCTGGTAAAATCACAACTGATTGGAAGCAGGCTAATGTTGTGCCCATATATAAAAAAAGGTGACAAGCATAACGCTATTAATTATAGACCAGTTTCATTAACTAGAATATGTTGTAAAATTTTGAAACATATTTTGACAAGCAACATCCGAAAACATCTTACAAATAATAATATATTAAATGACAGTCAACATGGGTTTAGGAGTAAAGGTCTTGCGAGACCCAACTCATTATCAGTATACAAGATCTAGCAAAATCATTGGCAAATGGCAATCAAATAGATGTTATACTTTTAGGTTTTTCTAAAGCATTTGATAAAGTCCCCCATCAAAGATTAGCTCAAAACTTAGATTTTTACGATATTAGAAATCAAAACTTAAATTGGATAACAGATTTTTTAGCTGACAGGCAACAACAGGTATACTTTTAAATTGTGTTTAATCTTCTAAATTAGCTGTTGACTCTGGTGTTCCTCAGGGAACAGTATTAGGCCCAACATTAGTTTTACTATTTATTAATGACTTACCAGAACATGTAATTTTAACTTGTAATGCAGATGACTGCTTATTGTATAGAAATGTAAATAATAATTCTGATGCACAATTACTTCAAAAAGATTTATCTAGTGATTAACATTGCTATATAAAATCAATCGGGGGTTAATAGAAGTTCCAAAGGACAATTTAACAAAATCTGATAGACGTACTAGGGGGCAACATAAATTTCGGCAAATAGCAACTTATAAAGACTTCTATAAATATTCTTTTTATCCGAACACAATCTCTGACTGGAATTCACTATCTGAAGCAATAGTATGTCTGACACCCTGGAATCCTTCAAAAGTGGCATATATACTCTTTAAGACTAACATTTGAAGGACCCACACCAACTTATTAAACTACTAAAGCCACTGTACATAATGTAGATATGTTATTCTATAGACTATAATATTTTTCTTTATTGTTTATATTAATTTTAATTAAGTCCATATGAACATAGCACACAAGTTCCGGGAAGTTTTACACTCCTACCTAGGAGTCTACTCCCGTATTCCGGAGAAGAAGAAACGATAGGCCTACTGGAAGCATAAAGACTAAGTCATGGCTAACTTGAAAACTAACCGTGAGAGATCACCGTTGGCCAAAAGTACGATCGATAAAACATAAAATTCGTAATAAATTCCGCGGAACCCTGTGTATCGCCTGAGATTGCTGCTGTCAGCGTAAAAGTGCAATGTTGATTGACAAAAACTAATTCCATTTATGATGCAATTACTTGAACTTGAAAAAGTTTAATTATTTCTTAGTTTCAAAACATTCCATGAAGGTTTAACAACGTTAGTTATATCTATAAAAATGTAATCCCAGACCGTGTATTTAATTGTTAAATGCAAAAACAAATTAAGTCCACTTATCAGAAAAATGCAAAAAAAAATATAAATTTTGATTTATGCATGCAGACAAGGCCAGTAATATTCTTTTCTGACTGTCAATGACGTCTTCATACTAAATCCATTGGGTGTTGGATGTGTACTGATTGATACTTTAGTCTTAGAAACATGATTTTTTCAATTAGTGGTTAATGGCTTTAAACTAGCTGTCAGTAATTACGAATACTCTCACTGTATACTAAGTGTCTTTTTTGTTTTGTTTTTGTTTTGTTTTTGTTTTTGTTTTTGTTTTTGTTTTTGTTTTTGTTTTTGTTTTTGTTTTTGTTTTTGTTTTTGTTTTTGTTGGGGGGGGGGGGGGGGGTATAAATACCCTGCCACGTCCGGTCTGTGTTTTTGTTACTTGTTTTTCTGCTTTGCGTCGATCTGATTTGTTAAGCCCTTTTCAACTGATTTTTATAGTTTGTTCATATGCTGTGCTGTTACACTACTGTCCCAGGTTGGGCGTCCGCTAACATGTTTAACCCCGCCACATTCTGTATGTGCCTGTCCCAAGTCAAGACCTGTAATTCAATGCTTGTCGTTTGTTGCTGTATGTCATATCTGTTTTTCGTTTATTGTTTTGTACATAAATCAGGCCGTTAGTGTTCTCGTTTGAATTGTTTTACATTTGTCATTTCGGGGCCGTGTTGACTATGCGGTATGGGTTTTGTTCATTGTTGAAGGCCATAAGGTGACCTATAGCTGGTAACTTCTATGTCAGTTGGTCTCTGGTGGAGAGTTGTCTCATTGGCAATCATACCACATCTTCTTATTTTTATAACTATATATCTCTTAATCATAAAAAGCGTCCGCCATTGTTTCATAAAAATTCTTTGACGGTATGACAAGATTATGTTTTTTTAGTCTTTGCATTGCATTGCACAAAGATATGAAGGTCCGGATATGATTTACAAAAAAGAGAATAATGGACAAACGTGCAGAATAAAGGGCAAAAAATAGAATAGAGAAAAATAGGACAAAAATAAAGAATAAAGAATAATGGGGTGCTAAAATATAAAAAATAGAGAATAACAGGCAAAATTTATAATGAATAGAGAAAAATGGCTTAAAAAAATAAAGAAAGCAGTATTGAAGTACCCCATCCAGACCCTCTTGTACTGTTTGTGGCGTTGCTGTATGACATTTTTTCTGAAGTACAGCAACCGATATTAGAGTGTAGAAAATCATATCATTCTTTAATAAACTATAGTAAACAAAACAAAGCACGATGCACGAATAAAAGGAGATCTGAGGTATACGTTAATGAGACAGCAACCCGACTACAGAAATAAACCGAAAGATATCTAAAGGGAGATGTGTAGTCTTCAACAAACGACAGGTGTCCTAACAATATATCTTATAAGTGCTATCAGATTTTTTTTCAGCCATCAGTGTACACGGAAAATTAAGTGTGAAATAGAAGGAGAATCAGATGGGGATTATACGTCAATGGAACAGCAGCCCGACGACAGAAATAAAAAAAAAACATCTTGATGCATACATGCAGTCTTCGACAAATAGACAGATGACCACCCATACACAATATGTCTCGCTCTTAATTGTCTCGATTCTATGAAAGATATATACATATATAAATTCAACAATAACAATTAAAGATCTGCTATTAACACTCAATTTTCAAAATAAAGGGGGGAAATATTACGATATATGACAACACACACACGTTTAAGAAAATGAAATGCAACGGGCTTAAACTGATAAAAATATTTAATTTTTAACCACCCCCCTTATATATGACAACTTTACTGCGAGAGATAAAGGAATAGTTGCATCGCAGATTTAATCCCGTCGCCTCAATATACGTTCGGGTTTCACTCAGTCCCAACGAGGGCTAAGTTCCCAACAGACCTAGACTGTACTTAGAAGACTGCGGTTGGATAACAAATTCTGGGTTACCTATATTCACAAGCTCAAGGGTTATTTATGAAGAACTTGGATGGGAAACATTAGCTGAAAGAAGAGAGAGAAGAAAAATTCAAATGTTTTATAATATTCAAAAAAATAATGTTCCAGAATATTTGACAAATTTAATTCCCCCAAAAATCCAAAGTATGACGGTCTATCCTCTACGCAGTGGAAATGACATCATTATTCCATTCTGCAGACTAGCATTGACAAATGATTCATTTATTCCATCAATCATACGTCTTTGGAATAATCTTGATGATTCAACTCGTGATGCGGAATCAATAAATAAATTTAAAACTGAACTAAAAAAACTTTACCCTCAGAATTACATATTTGTACCGAAGCAATATGAGTTTGGAGTTTGAAAACTGAATATTATTCTAACCCAACTTCGATGTTTTGCATCATCCTTAAACTATGATCTATATAGGGTCAATATTATTTCTGACCCTTCTTGCCGCTGTGGTGTTAATCGTGAAGATTCCTATCATTTCTTTTTTAAATGTATATTATATTCAGACATACGAAATAAAATGTCTGAAAGTCTGCGCTGGCTTCCAAAAGATTGTAAAATTAACATAGAACAACTAACCTCGGTTAGTTATCTTCTTTCTCTAGAGCAAAACCAAACCATTTTCAAAAATGTCTTCGAGTTTATTAAAAGTTCGGAAAGATTTCTAATTGTCTAGATAGCAAACCATAATCGCACACACATCATCATCTAAGTAAAAGTCTTCCTTTTTTTTTTTTTTTTTTGTTTGTTTAAATTGTATTTTATTTTTTGTTTTTGTTTTCTAAATATTCATTTATTTATTTTTATATATTTATTTTTTCTGCATTATTGTTTTCTTTCTGTCTTCACTTTTCTGTCTTTTGACATAAATCTATATATATATATATTAAATAGGTATACCATTCTATACATGCGTGCTCATACATATATTTTGTATTATATTGCTATAAATGTTAAATGGAGAAGACTTCATAAGTCTGTTTGACTTGTGTCTTATCCAATTTGTACTTGAACAAATAAAATATGCTTAAACTAAAGAAATTCTGTAATGCAAACTTATATGTAAAAATTATTTCACGAAAAAGGTATGATAATACGCAAATATTTCAAAGTTTGCAAAATATGTGCTTGTTATCAGGAAAAAACCATGATAAAGACTCATTTTATGATTGAGTCGTTGTTTAAAACTTTTTGGAACTATTTAATTTTAA